AAACGGATTACCAAATGGATTGGTTGAACCATTGTGGTAACAATAGAGTTTCAATATTCAAGCAAACTCTGGAAAAAAAGTGAACTTAAAAAATCAATTTCCTAAAATTCCTAAAACAATTGCACAGCCACAAATATACCCTGAGAGAACTCCTTGTACATCAATTTCCAAGAAATATTATTGCACATGAAACATGTCATATTTGGTCAACAGCATAACCAGGGCCAGTAGTACATATGCCAAATCTATATCTCATATAAGATGCAACCCCCTTAAAATTAGCTTCAAAATTAGGTCTTCACATGATACACGAGTATATACGAAACATATATTTTATACATATTGAGGTTATAGACATTTTAGGAGGCAGCAGCTTCAAAGTAGAAAACTTGTTTAATAATCTGAAATTCAAAGAAGTAGCTTACACACACATTGCAATGAGCATCCAATTTTAGACAAAATTCACTTGCAGGAGTAGCTTGTGACAAGACCAAACATGTTATGAGTACAACAAAAAGGAGCCATTGTCATTAATTTGATTTCTGTCAGTGAAGAAAGCTGAGGCTTTCACTGCCTATGAATTTAATTTCTCCATAGAAACCCAAATGATGAAGCAAATAGGAGAGCTGTAAAATTTTAAAATGATTTTGACTAGCAAAATCGTCTTTCCCACGTTAGATTTTTATTTGAATCAGTGTAGCCCAGAACATCAAAGTAGGTATAATAGATGTTAATAAAAAACTGGAATATGTCTACCAACTTAATGTAGTGATTCTCAACTGCTGTGCCAGAGCACAATAGTATGCCACAAAATATTGTCATGGCATATTGAAGAAATCGCAAAAAAACACCAGGCACAGGGTTCACATGACAAACTGTACAAATAGTTGAATAGAAATATTGAAATAAAGTAAGTTCATATTTGTGTGCATATTTTTTCTAAATCTATGCTTTTATTTCATAACATTCAAATGCATATCCCTTAAAAATTTTGCTAAGTGTGCCATGATATTTTCATTTGCTTCTAAGTGTGCTATTGCTTAAAAAGATTGCGAAACATTGACCTTAATGCATAAAAATACGATACTTGATGCACTAGAAAATTGAACTCATGAAAATTAAAATGTAATGTGAATACAGTGAAAAAACATTTTGAAATTATGGAACAAATTTATTCAGATGCAGTTTGTTCTCAGATTTTTGTATGGATTATGTCATTTTTTTTTTTGTGGAGGAAGAGTAGAGCATAAAACTACAGGCCACCATTAACTTTCAGCATTAGTACTTCATCATAGTTATATAACGAATTATTTCTTACCATATTGTACTATTTTGCTTTATTTATGGATATGCTGTTCAGTTGTTTATACAAAATGTGCATTGAGAAAAAAAAAGTTATTTCCCTTGACATTAAAAGATTAAGTGGGTGGGCAGGATTTCTTTTTAAGAATTTTTACATTGGATTTAATTTCAGACCATCAATGGAATTTATTTTAATTAAATAGCTATAACTAAACTGAACTTTTGAAAAAGTTATTTATAATTACTATTGCAGAGGTAATCAAAATATGAAAATGAAAATTACAATAGTTAGATAATGAAACAAGAAAAATGTTCGGCAAGATCATACATGGATAAGCCCCCCCCCCCGTATTCAGACTAAGATAGTCATTTTCGTTATGCTAAACATTTCAACCAGTACAATCAGTGTACTTTCCTGTCAATAAGTTTTAAATAAAATCATTTATTTCCTTCAAGAAAAAGGATAAATCTATATACTTAATTTACAAAGGTACTATAATAATACCTACATATTTACACAGTATTATTCTTATGAATTCAATTGTTTTGTATAGTTTTCTGCTTACTATCTGATAAGTCAAAAAGGAACTAATATTGTGAAAATTGAGTCAGTTAAATTCAGTGATATTTGATCATGCAAAGTTTTTCTTTTCTTTTTTAAGCCTACCCTAACTTCACAGATGAAAGGATTTTCAGTTGAAGCCAAAAGCTATTTTAAATCTAGAGCAGCATTTAATTTTTGTATTAATATTTCATAAAAATGCCAGCATAACCTTACTTGGTTCAAAAATATAAAGTCTTTGAATTAAAAATTGTTCTGTAATATTACAACAAAAAACAAACTAACCATGATACATGGAGCTACATTCCAGGGGAAAATATATTGATTTTGCTACATACTGAATAAATTGTAAAAAATAACTTTTTCATTTCAATTTAAACAATTTTCTTTTGTCAGGAAAATTTGTAAAATTTTCATTAGTCTTTGCTGATGAGGTTAAAATTTGATTTGTCATGAGAAAACTTACAAGTGCTTTCCATTTTCTTTTTTAAATTAAAAAATGTAAACATGCTTCTTGAATTTAAAAGAACAATTTATAGTTTATGTAAAGTTTTATAATTATATAATAAAAATAAATTTCAGTCATTAAATGTACATTGCCATTTTTTATTTTTAAATAAAATTTCTTACTCAGCTTGGAAAAAGTATGTAAACAAATACAGACAAAATATATTTAACAGGATTTCCAAGTTCAACAATCATTCAAATGAAACTGTTTTTCATATACAACATTATATATATATATATATATATATATATATTACACACATACACACACAATAACAAGATACACAATAAAATAAATGTTATAGTTGCATATTTAATGATTTTTATAAAACCATCAGCAGGATAGATCTTGGTAATTAGATAACAGCATAAAGCATATAAGTTTCTTTTTACTTATGCATCGAAAAAGAGCTTAAAAAGTATGTTATATCTATTTCTAAATATCAAAATTTAAAAGGGTCAGTTTGAAGTTTCTATTGTGTTTTATGAAAATACAAGCATGAAGGTATATACAAAATCCTTGTCATACATATGAAGGGGTGCTGAGAATTTGTTTGATCTTACCCACTTCAAAAAAAAATCTAGCATAACACCAGAATTTTCTTTAAAATCCTCTTTGATAAGGCTGAGAACTTTTCAGCACCCACTTGTCATCTATATATGCATATATAATCCATTTTAGTAAGGTGCATGCAAACATTTTGCATATATTAGTACATAAATAGTGTTTAGATTCAACATTTATGCACAAATGAAACTTGTGTATCCGTTCACTATAGATTTTGTTCTTCATCTCATATGCATACTCAGGAGAGAATACAGATAAAAAATAAATCAATATACTTGATAAGATAAGAATCTCATCTAATGAGGAGTTAATATGGACATGTAGTAGCAGGAAGGAATCTAAGAGTCTTCAGCTTAACACTTTCCTAAACAACCTTACCTCAAAATTATTGAAGAATGAAGAAATACAAGAAAGCAATTTTTTTCCATTTATTTCTATTATTACGTGATGTCTTCTATTAATCTTTACTCATTTTAAAAGGATCAATGTTTTTATAAACAAAGTTATCAGGAAAAAAAATGGAAAAAAAAAAGAAATGCATATAATAATACAGTAGATATTTCAGTTAGCAGATGCAGCCAATTACATATAAAAACAAATATGCAACCCTAAAGAAAGACTAATTTACAACCATTACATTCCATTAACATATTGGATCCATTCCCAAATTATCTACAACTCAATGGCTGTTGATTGAGGAAGGAATAAGCTAACAGCCAATTTTAGTTGAGACCTGTTTTCATTTCCAATATTTTTTCTATTGATAATGCACCAAAAGAATATATATATATATATATATATATAAAAAAGAAAAGTACAGACAAATTAATAATACACAGTTCTTAGCATTTATTATATATATATATATATATATATATATATATATATATATATACACACACACACACACACACACACACACACACTTTATTTCATATGACTTTCTGGGACCATGCATGTTTTTATATCAGTCTAGAAGATATATATATATATATATATATATATATATATATACACACACACACTTCTAACTGCATGCAAATGCTTTTGTTATGTTCAAAAATAAAACAATCATTTTCTTTTGCATTTACCAAGTTTTCTAAAGAAGTGAAAGCAAGGAAAACAGTTAATTAAATAAAAATTAACTAAGGAAAGAAGAAAGAGAGAGAATCCTTCTCACACCATGGAGGGTAAAGGGCCACACCCTCCTTCAACACACTAGTGTTGTTGCTGTAGTTTCTGTAACAAGTAAGCTTTTTACAAGGTGGAGTTGTTAGTCACACAACTTACCAGTTTTGAACCGAGTTATCCTTCTCCTAGACTGGTTGCCAACCAAGGATAGAAATCAGTGTTCCCTGCTATTTAACCCATAGCCGGTGAAGAAAAGAATGGATTCATACCTTTCGCAAGAGTATTTGTGCAAAAGTGAATGCAACAATATGGGCCAGAATTTGAACACAGCAAGTCAATCATACTTTCCATGACAATCGACCACAAACACAACCTATGGAAATATGTTAATTGACCACTGTTGACTTATTAAAAAAATATCTATGTGATGGTTATAATCAGTGAAAGATCTGTGTTATTGAGCCAAGTCAAAATAGACGGATTTTCCCAGCCACATGTTCATGAAAACTACATGAATATGTATCAAAGTTAGTAATAATATGCTTTATTTTCTTGTTCTCTTAAATACATTAATTGATTTTTTCCTTTTTAAGCAGTGATCCCCTATTTGTAAAGAAAAAAAAAAAGAAAGTTAGTTGTTCATGAACTTTTATAATTATCCACTTGTATAGTCTTATAATATTTCTATTTTCAGGATTATCTTCTTTGAATAATCAAATTTTCATTTTTTTTTCTCTCCTTATCCTTAAGACTTTTTTTTTAACCCCTAGACTACAAAAAAACAAAAACAAAAACAAAACAAAAAAAAAAAAACAAAAAAAAAACAACTTTCCTTTCTTCAAAAAGACCAAAACAAACATGTGAATAAAAATTCAGATGTCACTCTGGACTTAATTATTTTTTATTTTTAAAGTAGCTTTGTTTACTTACCAATGTGCTTGAATGTGTCATATAGAAAACATCCTCAGGAAAAAGTAAGGATCCTAAAATGGCGATTGAAAATCTAAAAATAAGAAGATATAAGTGAAAAAAAAAAAAAAAAAAAAAAAAAAAACTAATGGAAGCACTTGAAAATATGTGAAAGCAAAAATAAAAAAAAAAAAAAACAAAAAAAAAAAAAAAAAAAAAAAAAAACAACATGACTATGGCACATTAATAACATCTAAACAAAATCTTTTCATATTAGAAAGGAAACAAAAAGCCACAAATAGTACACCCATTATAGCCCTAAAGTGCTGAGATATCAGCAACCAAAAATGTAAATTATATCAAGAATTGTGAGAGAAGTTTATTCTTCAACAACAATGTGGCCTCATGTCCTATTTTAAGAGAAAAATATTTTCTTAGATATATTCCTTTGTCATTTAATGCAATCAAACATTTTAAAAGTATAGTAAAAATGTCAACAAAAATAAAGACTTGACCTGGTTTTTCCTCACTACAAATGAGTCACCCTCCATTGCTAAAGCTCAGCCAAATAGGACATTTGCAACAGGAGATTGTATGTATAATTAGTTGCATCAACAACCAATCCTATCTCTTAAAGTGAGGTACAATTGCACCCCTAAATACAGGTAGTTTTATTTTATTCTTGTATTGATTTCAAGGAGATAACTAATCCCAAAGAAAAAGAAATAATTACATTAAATTGTTATAAAATAGCAGGATTAATTTATTTTTATATTTTTATAGTCATCTTATACAGCTATTTGTTCAAAAGTTGATACGCATTGTGTAGTTTTATTTACTATTTCATAACCATCCTAAAGTGATTGGTTAATATTCATTAGTTAAATACCATTTAAAATTTAAAATCATAATTATCAAATACACTAAGTTGGTATTATGCTACAAGTCCTTAAAAGCTGTTCATTAGATAATTGATATTGTATTCTTTTTAAGAAATGCTCATTAAAACAGGATTGTATCTCTATAGATTAAGCTCTATAAACTATTTAATAATTTGTACTTTAAAGCATTTCAAGCTGAATGGAAGTTGATGTTACAAAACTGGAGTAAATAAGGAATAAATCCAAAACAAGGACAAAGTCACTTTATTATTGCTTCCTTATTTATTGTCCAAGTAATTTTTTTTTTACAGTAAAGTTCACCCTGTACAAGGCCCGAAGGCCACTCAAGGTAGAGGGTTACATTAGGAGGCAATTTGTATGGATAGAAGGGGAAGGTAATAATTAACCCTAGACTTGAACAGTTTAAGATTGCAGTGATTGGAGAAACATCCTCTTGGGAGTTGTTTCCACAATGCAGTGATTTGCAGTAAGGAACTTTTTGAGTGGAACTTACTTCTCACTGATGGAATACAGAGGGTATGTGGGTAGTTTGCTACAATGTAAGTAGCATAGTGGGTCCTTGCTGTGAAGGTTAGAACTGGTGGAACCAAGGAATGCAGTTCATCCAAGCACATTCCGTGAAAGTAGTGAAAGGCTTTCCACATCCCACCTATAAGAGGGAAATTGAAAAATAATTTATCACCCACATGGACTGAGAAGTTTTTGGACTACAGAGGCTGGAGAGTGTGGTCTGGGTGATACCCACCTAAACAGTGCTTCATTTTTGACCTGATCTTGCTCTTGTCAAGGTAGAGGATAGTACGTGGAATCAGGTACTTACTGGAGTGATACAGAGACCAACCATTTTACCAGAATCTTTAGTGATGTCTTGTGTGTGCAAGTTCCACTTGAGGTCAGGTGTTAGTTTAAGGCCCAATAGTCTAAAGTCACAGTATCCCTCTGTGGGGACATCTGTTCATCATGACTGGCTGTAGTTTGGGGTTCGAGACATTAAATGTAACCAGCCAATTTTTCCCCACTGCTAGATTGGAAGAAAGATCAACTGCCAATCTCTGATCATCAAGAGTTTTAGAGGTGCACCTGTATATAGTCATATCATCAGCAAAGATGTTTTCAAATGATCAGAGAGTATTCTTCAGTCAGTTATGTGCCATGTGTGATTCACACTTAGGTGATCATGTATCTTTTGATACATGACTGACAAGGCAGATTTTTTCCCACAGGTTGCCATTTCTTTCTGCGGTAGACCAGTTGCCATCCAAGGCTACAGAACCCTGGTCTGTCATGCTATTTACCCATAGCTGGGGGAGAAGAAGAGGATTCATACCTTTTCCAAAGGCATTAGCAATTAAGTGAATATAAATTTGAAATCTGCCCTCAGATTTCTCAATCAGAGTCAATATATCCATTACTCCACCGTGTATCCTTGAGAAAGGCATATTATTTATGTAAATCAAAAAGAGGGTTGGTCTGAAGAGTGATTCATGGGGGACACCTGCATTGACTGCCAGGTGCTCTGAGGACTGGCAATTAATAACTACCTTCAGGGACCTACCTGCTAGGAAGGATTTTATAATCAAGAAGACTCTTCCAGTAATTCCATGACAGGAGAGCTTGTGTAACAAACCTTTGTGCCACACCTTGTCAAAGGTCTTTGAGATATCTAATGTTAGGTGTGTTTGTCATTAAGAGCCTCACTAATTCTGTGAGTGATAGTAGCTAGGACATCAGCAGTGGATTGGGCCAATCAAAACCCATACTGCTTGTCACTGAAGAGGTTATTTTTCTCTAGGTGCTTGATGACCTTTCTGACCTTTCACCTCAAAAAGATTGCTAATGATACTGAGGAGACTGATGGGTACATACTGGGAGGGGGAAGATCACACAACCATGTTCTTGAAAACCGGATATATGCCGGACACCTTCCACAGACGCTTCCAGCAGTTGAATAACTTTGCAAGGATTGGGGATAATTCTGGGTTGATATTCTTAAGGACAACTACAGGAATTTTGTTTGGGCCAGTGGCTTTCTTAGTTCAAGGCTTTTGAGAAGTCTAGATACTTCACATGCTGTAATGGTAATATTAACAAGATTGTGAGAGAAATGTGAGAAGTTGGGGAGGGGATGGTCTTTGTTGTCTAGTGTTAAGTTTGAGGCAAATGTTGAAGTGGAGAGCTTTGCCTTTTCTTCTGAGGAAGATATGACCTGTTGGCCCAGTTATAATTGTGGGCATAGCCACTTTACTTTTGTTCATGATTTGGTTGGCAATCTTCCATAATTCCTGGGATCCAATTTGTTTCTTTTCAACTTTGACAGCTTGTATATAGCTGCACTGAGTGTTTTTAGAACTTTTTACAGGAACTGTGAGCAGTTCTTGCAAGAGTTATTGAAGTAGTGGTTCTAGTGAGCTATGTTTGCAGAGCATTCAGGACTAAGCCAGGGCTAATTGCTTGTTTTTTGCTGGAATTTTTTCTGGTAGTATAAAACTCCATTCCAGAAAGTATCCATTCTGAGAAGAGGCAGCATGATTGAAGCTTGAGAGAGGAGCTTCTGTCTCACAAGATTGAAAACTGTCCCAGTCTGCCTTCATGTAATGATATATCAAGGGATGCCTTAGGTTTGGCATCAATCTAGACCCTGATTAGAGAATGGCCTGATGTACTTATGGGGGGTAAAACTTTTGTTAAGCATTTATCAGGGCAGGATGTTAGAAAGAGGTAGAGGAGGTTTGCTTGATGTCCCCTTGCATCTGGGACACAGACAGGTTCTTTAATGATCTGGATTAGTTCATAGGCAATGGAAAAGTTTCAATATCTGCTTTCATCAACGGTTTTGTTGGAGTGGGCTATGGGTTTATGGTGGATATTTAAGTCACCACAGATATGAACACTAGCTGAGGGAAATTCAGTGAAGATATTATCAATCCTCAATATTAGATTGAAGATTACTGTCCCTTCATCCTGTGGGAGATAGATAGCAAAGATGAATGTGGTTCTATAGATAATTGCCACACAGAAGCACATATACAGGAGATCAGTCTTCATTTTTTGCATCCTGGCCACAGGGAAACTCTCCTTGATGTAGGCTCCAAATCCCTGGCTGTAACAATTTAGGTGGTCATGTTTTGTTATAAGAGGTGAGTAGCCCAGGATTGTGAGCCTCTGTAGTGGGCTTGAGGCATTGATACCTGTTTCAGACAGAAACAGGAGATTGGGCTTGGACTGAAGAAAATGGAGTTTCACTTCTGGAAAATTGAAACAGACACTTTACATTAGTGTAATAAATAAAATATGCAAATTAACCAGAAAGCTGACTTTTTTTTTTTTTTTTTTTTAAATCATTTTTAATGGCCCACGCAAGTCTTAGAATTCAGGCTATATCAACTAAATTTAACTTGGCATTCTAGTAACTTTTTCAGTCTTCTTGTATATATTCATATCTCCTAATCATCAGCAACACCTATTTTTTTTTTAAACAAATAAAAATTCATTTTTAGCAATAAATGCAAATGAGAAAAAAACTAAACAGAAAAAATGCATTTCTGAGACAGAGTATTGTTAATATTGTAAACATAGAATGCAACCCTTGCCAAAGCTTTCCCCCAACCAGCCAATGATTACCTCACACAGCATTTAAATTCTCAATCACATCAGTATGCACTGGAAACTGAGAAAAGACCAGCTGCATGCTCACATATTAATGACGAAAGACAAACACCACATCAAGAAATTAATATATTATAAAATGAGTTTTTTTTGTTGTTTTTTATTCAGGGTTTTACTTTGTTTGTTTGAGTGGGTAAATAGGTGACACTTGAGAAAACTCAGCTATTTTCTCCTACCAACTCCTTACTCATCTACACATCCCGACATGTGACAGACAAGTCTATCTATAGCTAAAATCAAACCAGAACTGACTCATTCCACACATGAGTGTTAATATAGACCATCACCTGGATACACCCTATTTTCGGCTTTGTTATTACTTGATTTTCAAAACCTCTCATTCAGTCAAAGTGGATGCTGCTCAGAAAACTAAACTTCAAAAGGAACCACCTGCTGGTTATAAAACAGAAACACTTGGGATCAAGATAAAACCACATCTTTTCCACGCGGGTGTCCATAGTATCACAATATTATTCAATGCTAGAT